TAAATACCGGTACCTACACTCGAATACTACTTTTGTCTCCCTTACGCGACCCTTATCAGTTTTCACGATTTTTCAGTGGGTAGGTATATAGTGTTGTTATTCATGTAATTTGATTAAAGTTCAAATGTTCGAAGTAAGTTTGAGTGGTATCGAGTTCAAGTACGTTCAGTTCTAGAAAAATCGAAGTTTGAGTTCAAAAATTTCGAACCATTCCTATAATATATTTTATCTCGTCATATCTATAAATACCAACAGTCGAAGTTTTCGCTTACATAATAATAATAATTACAATTTATAACGTTGACGTTATATAGCAGCGATAACTACGCCTCGCCCAAAGTCACTTGGATTTCCAAGTCGAGCACGTTTTCCCATTAAAATTTCACGCCAAACACCGCACCGGCATCGAAAATACTCGTTGTAATAACAGTCGCTGTTTCGTTGTCAAATATTGTTATCTACGTAGTGTATAGAATATTCTATATCGAGAATATTTTAGCAAAACGCCTCGGGGTGAAGGCATTATACACATGTATATGCACATCGGTGCTATCCTTCAAAAGCGAAACGCATTAGACAAACACACACATCACACACGACACATTATATCACATATTATGATTATTATTTTAATGTGTACTTACATTTACGAACGGCACTATATCTTCGAGTCAATTACTGTTATTCCAAGAATGATACGTTACATTATCGCCGTATGTATATCTTAGGTATATATATTTATGGGAATGTGTGTGTGTTTGCTTTATACGTTCCGAAGACGATGACGACGACGAGGGGTTGTGGCCTCATCAAAATTGATGAATTGAAATAGAATTGCTTTTGCGGGGCTGTCGTCTATATCGACGTGCACCTACGGCTAATTACAGCTGTTTCGGCGGATGAAATTACACTGTTTGCGGGCAAAGTAGGTGTATGTACACGTCATGTTATATTTGTATAAATTGGCCGACAGAACGTTTGCATAATATGTCTTAACATATAGTATAGTCGGTGACATTATAGAATATTATCATAATAATATATATAGACTCTCGTATACATCGCTGGCCTCTGTGTGCAGTGTATATTATACACATGTTCATATCTTAAGCAATTATCTATATTATACGAAGTCGTTCTATACATAATATATATGCAATAACTCTACTCGGCAGCAGTCGTGGGGCGGCTTGTGTGTGGTTGAGATCAATATATTATTTTATCGGGTTGCAGATGATATTATATATATTTTGATGTACCTACACCTATATACCTACACACAGCGCCGGCGCAAGGCCGGGGCGAGCGGGGCACATGCCCCGGGCCCCGCGCTTTCGGGGCCCCTCTAGAAATTATTATTTAAAATAAAATTATTTATATTTAAAACTCTTTTGTTAAGTTCCATACAGGATTTTATTATCGAGTATAGCTGCATAATATTATCTTGATGTTAGTGGTCGATCTCCGAAATATTAAAATATAATATTATTGTAGATGAGTTATAAATAAATCGAATTCGTAATTATTTTAAAGTTTAAACCGCGATAACGATTCATAAATTTTATTTTCGTAAAAACCAAATGCATGCTACTTGTACTGGGTGTCCGTGTGTTTCTGTTATTATTTGACCATTTCACTCACATCAGCTGGAGCAAAGAGATCTTTTTCGAAGCTTAAATTAATAAAAACTTATTTACGGAGTACCATGTCCCAACAACGACTCACTGGACTAGCCACAATTTGTATTGAAAAAGAACTATCCGGACAGTTGAACTATGAAGAAAATATAAATGATTTTGCTTCCAAAAAAGCCAGAAAGAAAATTATTTAGAACTTAAACACTAAAACTAACTATATCAAATATAAATTATAATTTTAAATGTTTACTTGTTATTTTTATGTACTAAAAAATGATTTCAAATTAATCAACTATATTATACTATATTTTTTATTTTGATAATGTTGAGAAGTTTATAAAATAAAAGGGAATTAAAAAAAAAAAAATAATAAAAGTAAATTTATTGTGTAAGTAATAATACATACTTCTATATTTTTTTATACACTATAATATTCTTGTAATCGCTAAAAAATATAATAATATTACATATTATGTTAAGCTTGATGTAAAACACTATTCAAATATAAAAACTTCCTAGTTCAATTTCTCAAATAAAATCTTTTACCTACTATAAAATCATATTTTGTATTTTGTTGCATACATACTGTTTATTGTTAAACGAACAACGAAACATGCTTTATTTATTTTCAAGTATTAGATACTTATAAAATTCGAATATATAGAGTATAGAGTCTAATATCTATATTATAGACTGTAAAGGTAGGTACATACCTAATATTAACAAATATAACTATGTAAATTATATAAAATATGTATAGGACTTGTATTTTTTCCAGTTGGTAGCCGGTAGGTTTTTGCTTTCAATATTTCGCATATTGTGGCCCCTTTCAATATGATGTGCCCCGGGCCCCGAAAAACTTAGCGCCGGCGCTGCCTACACATGACGTATCGACGATTTGTTTGTACGCAAAATACGCATAAACGGTGCACGTCATATAAAATATATTATATTCCGAATATTGGAGCTTCTCGATAATTAATAAACATAAATAGATAACATATAAATAATATATTCGCCTTATACTCGAACTTCAGTGCGGGGGACTTCGAAACGTCGCTCGGATGATTATATACAGAGCGTTGGATATTCGATAACAAATTCAATTTAATGTAGCATAATGAGTATTTATGGGTTATAAATTATAATAATATAAGCTGAAAACTTCGATTAGCAGCTATAACTTCGTAACTAATTTCGTGGACCAAATTTTGATCTCACCAACATTTTTTCACCCAACAAATGACTATGTCCCATAATTTGTTAAAATACATAAAAATTAAAATTTGTTATTGGCAATGCGCGTGGCAGTCAGGTAGAGTTGCATACAAACAGATAAACGTAAAATCGAAAAATTTATGAGGCTAAAAATTTCCTGGTAAAAAAAAATGTACACCATTGTTTTAACTATTAATTATAAAAACCAAGTCGTTTGAAAAAATAAATTGAAAAACGTGAGGGGGTTGGTAAAGTGCATTAATTGTTCCTTGTGGGTTTTAACAGCGGATAATTGGTAATGGTAAATATCTGATTGATAATATCGCTCAGCGAAAAACAAACAAAAATAATACAAATAGGTATTTGGGCTAAAAATACACTTTACCAAGCCCCTCAAGAATTTCAAATTTTTTTTTTTTTTAAGACATGTTTTTCGACCCTGATTTCGAAAATGTTTGAATTTTTTTGAAACCATTATTTTGGAAGTTAGGGCCATCCAAAGTTTGCGATTTTACGTATGCGCGCAACACTACTTTAATGATCGGCGGAGAAACTCGTGTTAGGCGACCGCGGAGCTTTATGTACAGGGCTCGTAACTTGCTCGTAAACTTTGCACTAAAAAATGCATAAATAAGCATGCATTCATGCACTAAAAATTGTCAAAATATGCATTAAAATATGCACTTAAAAGTTCAAAAATATGCATTTATATGCATTAACATTTTTAAATTATGCACTCAAAATATGCATTATGTAAAAAAAACATGACCAAATTTTAAAATAATAAGAATAAATCCATACATTTTAAAAGTATTTTATTCCTCCTAATTTTTATATATTTAACAGTCAAAATTAATAAAATAAAAAATAAAATTAATACTTGTGAAGTTCAAATAGCTTTGTCATCTTTATAAATTTTAATTAGGTAGTCAATTTTGTCTAATTTGTGTACACCCTTATTCAGCACCAGCAATGAAAACATTTGGAATGAAATATTAGGTTTTTCATTTTGGGATAATTTAGTAATATATATTTTATAAGTGTTTTTTTTATGTTTTCCAACAAGAGGGCGCATAAGTAGACAAAATATGGCATAAAACCATGGTTTCGTAATTCAAGTAATACGGCTTATTGAAGTGGTTTACAGTAAAAATACCTATTATAAAAATTGTAAAGTAGAACTTTTTTTACAATCGTAAGAAGCCTGATTTTCGATATTTTTATTAATTAGCTAAATAATTAATCAATAAAAAATTTAAAAAACCGTTATAATTTACCATGCGATATTGGACGATTGGAACAAGATATCAAAAACCGGAAGAAACTTTTCAAATATTTGTCTAAAAAATATTTTTATGAAATAATATGCACTAACGACTGTAAAAAATCAACTATATGCCAAATATGACTTTACACCCAAAACATGCAAAAACATGCACTATCAAACTTCATATTATTATTACTATTGTTATGAAACGGATTTGTATCTCAGTTAGCATGTTTTCCTGTGTGGCAAAAAAAACATGCAGATGCATGAACTTACGAGCCCTGTTTATGTATAAGTAGTTGCCTATACTGTCATATTTTTTTTTTGATTGTGTAATTGTTTAATCACTGAACATATACTACTAGATAACTTACCCTGTAACCTATTTAAGGTGGTGTTGCAAAGCAAGTCGGGGGATATTTTTCGATCAGAGGAGCGGAGCGAAGGCGCCGAGGAGCGCAGTGACGAGTGCCGATACACGCGTAATCACTGCAACTTTGAACTTCCATAACTTTTGAACGGTAAGTTTCCTTGAATTTTTGAGGAAAACCGAGGCCTACCCAAAGTGGTTTTACTACGAAAATCGGGGGATATTTTCGATTTTTTTGTCCGAGCTCAGAGCAGCGAGCGAGTGGCAATGCCAGCAGATTTCGTTAAAAAACTTAAAAAAAGAAATTTGTTATACCGCAGCGCGTGACAGTCATATAAAGTCGCAAACTTTGGAAGGCTATAACTTCCAGAATAGTGGTTTCCGAAAAAAAAAATCAAACAGTTTCGAAATCAGCGTCAAAAAACACGCCTTTAAAAAAAAATGAAATTCATGAGGGGCGTGGTAAAGTGCATTTGTTCTAATATTTGTACGACCTGTTCGACCTGGAATGGTTGGCAACCCTCGATGGTCGTCCGAAGATGGTGAAGCTGATGTCGCCCATGGGGGGAGTGTTGACGGTGTTGACGATGTTGATGAGGCCGAGTGGAGCGGAATGTTGTCATTGTCGCCCGTGTATACGACGGATATGCGATGGCGTCGATTTACAACGACGTTAGTAGAGCAATTGTACGCCTCTAAGGTTCGGCCGGAAACTCGGCAGTCTGCGTACACGGACGACAGACTCCAGAACATCCGAGTCGGATGGCGCACAAACGACCGGACTCGTACGCAAACACTATGCCGAGTTCACTATGGCGTGTAAAACGGCGAACGGCGTGTCGACGGTCGGACAGAACGAAAATCGATAAGAAGAACGGCGATACGGACGTGAACGGAGCGAAATCACGGATACGTTGACGGCGACGACGCACCGGTTGGCAATCGTTGACCTTTCATATTATAAAAGCGACGAACGTAGAAAAACATAGTGGTTTTCCAAAGGTCGGTAATGGAAGAAAAAACGTGGAACGGCGCGATGAGAGACACAATGGCCGACGTAAACTCTTTTCTATGCGAGTAGGTACGCGAAGACCACGGTTTAAGATATATCTTAAACCGTGGTAAAGACAGTTCGCCGTCGGTGATAAGGCTTAGCAGTGCGGTGATTGGTCGAGACACAAACAGCTGTCTTGAAACACAAAAGCACTCGACGCCATAGATATTATAGGACCGCGAATTAAGTGTATAATATCTATGGCACCGGCGAGCAATCGCGTATGTGTGTGTGTGTTTGCACGACGTACTCCGTACCGAACGGTATTTTATGTTTTTGTTTTTCGCGGAAGGAGTGTCGAGTGAATTTCAGAAATAGACTTGGAATTTTACAGGTATTTAATCGTATTCTAATTTTCTTCTTAACTAGGTAGGTACGTAATATTATAACCAATAACAAAATGTCTGATAGGTACACTGTGTCACTATTATTGTAGACGAACAGTTCGACATGCAGTCCGCTATGTATTTTTCTAAATAAAAGTTGTTCTCTCTCTTTGCAAAAAAGAAAAATGTCGAATATGAAAGTGTCTATCGAATTTCAAAACTTGGCTTGCAAATGCATATTAAATATTCACATAAAAAATTATTTTTTAAAAAGTTAATTTTTACTATCAGGCGAGACGCTTCTAGTGTACATTAGGAAATTCGAAATATTATATCAATAAAAATAGTTTTTATTGATATTTCTTTAATAGTTTTTTTGGTATTTTTCTTCAGCAACAAAATATGTCAATCTATAAATTATTTATATATGAATGCATCTTTATCTATCTCCAGCAATTATCGATTGAACAGTGTCTAGCTCAAACAAATAAAAACTAATTGGTCAATTAGAGATACATCGCAAACATATTTATTTCCAGTATAATGTTTATTTATTGCATAGCGTGGTGCCAATAAAGTATTTAAGTATAAGTTTTTAGTTTAATCCTTTCCTACCACACTTGCATAGTCTCGTTTAAAAACAATATTGGTCATTTTTTAACTGTGTTGAAACGGCGTTTTTGGTTATTTTTTAGATCATGTTTTGATTGTATATCTAGAACATTTAAATGCGTGCCCTAATTATAATATATAATGACATGTATACGTTTTTTAAACTTTAAGTTTAAATATTGGTAAGCACCTGCCGCAGTAAGTTCTCCGTGATTGGTCACCTGCTAAACGAATGCCGATTTCCAAATCGAAATCGCGTCATTCGAATATGATAATATTCACAGACGCACTGCACCTCGCAGCAAAGTACGTGATTTATTGCAGCAGGAATGACTTGTAATAAACGTCGTTTTAATGACGAGCGATTTGCAGTCTCGTGCGCTCGCTTATATTATATAATATGTTATACATTATATAATTACAGTATATTATTATACTCTTGACTTTACACCGTTTCGCGGAGACCAGACGTGTGTGTGTGTGTGTGGGTGTACGCGTGGGTGGGTGTGGGTGGATGGTCGTAGATTGGTGAGAGTGGGTGTGATGTGTGGGTGAGTATGCGTAGTGGGGACGAGGAGATTATATCGGAGAGTGTTCGTGTGCAGACGCGGTGACGGTGGCGCCGGCGAACAAATGACTTTGACGGCAGAGTGCAATAATTTAGCTGCCGAGATGTCTCGAGGTATTCGTCGAGGGCACGATTAAGAGAGCGAACCAGGAAGAGAGGCCGAAAAATGCCGACAAGATTGATAAGAAACGGTAATGAGCGGCACCGATCGCGCGTGTATATACCTAATGCCCTGCTCCTTCGGCCGGATAAATTAGCGTCGATTTTCGGTCCGATACATACAAGTGCTCGCACACCCACCCACCCACACACACGAGGGACGGAAGACGTTGAAAAATATCACGATAAGCCCTCTAAAAGCTTTGCAGGAAATCGGTCGCCAAGTCGTATCGCCGTCGCAAGTCCCCCGAACACTTATATTATATTATACTAACATCGTGTCGTTAAATTTGTTAATCTGAATCGTTCGCTGTTTGAGTAGGTAGTTTAAATTCAGAGATTTCGGCGTTAAACGAGTATATATGATAATATTATATTAGGTTTTATGCTAACTTTTTTTTTTATTATTATTACCACCGAATTCCGAAAATACTGTTCATCGACCAATTTAAAAAATATTCTTTTGCGACTGCGGAATCACGATAAAAGAAAATATATAAGCTATTTAAGTATTAATTTTGTTTGCACCGGGCTTGCGGGCTAAGATATTTTAGTAATGGACTGACTGGTATCACCTCGGTGAATGGGGTAGAGACGATGGTTTGAAAATATCTCTTCCCCTAATATTATACTTTTCGTCTTCATCGTAAAATTGGAAACGCAGAGCTATCAACGTGCCTGCTGTTAGAGGATTAGTTTTCATTAATTGAATATATTATATACTATATTACTCTTATGTAAACTGTGAAATTTCTCAATCGGTCGTTGAGGTGTATCAATACCACTGACCGTTTCTATGAACGCTTATTATACAAATTGAAGAGAAGAGGTTTATCTAGGCCTGTATAATATGACTATATGAATCAATTTTCCATATTTTATTTTCAATGTCCAATATTTAGCTCTAAAACTTGTGATATAATTTAAATTTTTTTAATTTAAATAATTGAGTTTAATAACTAAAACATCGAAAATTGACTTTTACTATACAGGCACAGATTAACTTCTCTTCTACAATATTGATAATATGTGTTTTTACTATCAAACCGCTCAATAACCATATCATTGGAAATACAATAATTAATTTTCATAGAATTATTTCCACACTATTGACAACCCTTAATTGAAAATTGCAAACTATTTTGTTTTAAAGAACGTTTAAGGTGTTTAATTTTATTTTCTAGTAAAAATGTATAAAGTGTTAAATTTGTATAGCTATATAAGGCTTGAAAATTAAATACAAGGTACTTCATAAGTTATAAGCAACTATTCATACTTGAACCAAATATCATCTAAATATTATAAACTTAGATTTTTTTTTTTATAGACATTAGAAGTTCAAATTCCGACAAAATACATATTACATACGTCATTCCACACTGTAATACAGCTGAGCGGTTACCTATACTTTTCCACTTTTTTTTTTTATCGTAAGTAGGTATTACATATTGGTATTTTAATTTTTCATAAAAATATGCGTTCTTACACTTCTCAAATGATATATAACGAGGGACCGAAATATGTATGCTGGGTAGAGTGCTACTTTTGAGGACGTTACGGCAGGGGTGAAAAGGCCGACTTCCGGAATGAAATTTCGCTTCCGGTCGGGAGACAAAAAAAATGATCATAGGTCGCGTGTTCTGAGCCCAATGATTTTTAATTGCAACGCGTAAAAACCATCCAAACTTAAGTGTGTATATATTATTATATTATATTACAATACGGTATTGCGACATAACCATTATTACACTACACTGCTGTGAATATTATGCGAAACGGATGATGATCGAGCGGTGGTCGCCCGTCAGAAATTATTGGGATTTTGAGGGCGGGTGCTCGAGCAGGCCTCCCCCGCCGGTGTTTCTCGTATAGTATTTGATATTATTATTATATATTATTTGAATATATTGTTCAGAAGAATATTATTTAATATAATAATAATAATAATAATAATATAACGTTACGTCGTTTTGATCGATACGGCGCGTGCGAATCGAATGATGTATACATTTTAATAATATTATTAAAATATGCGTACGTGTAGTCCGCGATGCGCTGTCATTGTACCAGGAGGGGTAAAAATCAACAGTCTATCGAAGTTTCTCGAAAAATGTATATCAATTTGAATATTATTATTGTTATTAATTTGCATTGTTATATTGTTGTTGTTATTCAATATACGAAATCTGCGAATTGTTATTCCGCATCAATATGCATTAACGTATACACGAATCGAAATTGTACAAAAACGTTTTACCGCAATTTTATGTCAAACTCGTTACCTACATCATATTATATAATGTAATATATTATTATGAAGTTATGCATTTTATTATACTAATTGTATGCAGACAATAAACTATTATTACTAGTATTAGGGTTAAACTTTTTTCCGAACAAAATATTGTAGGTACCTACTATTGGTTCACATTGTTCACAGTACAATATACACACTATAGGCGATTCGATGTCATACTATTCATGATTTTATGTATTTGCATAAAAATTAAGGACGTAACGCAATAAAAACGCAAAATACTAAAATAAGACTTAAGATTTAAAAAAATTACAAATATAGTTTTTATTATTTAGAATCTATGATGAGGTTATTAATACCAGTTAAAATTACCCATACACTAGTCATTAAAATCTTCATTCGAATAATAATTACCACACCAAACAACACGTAGGTGTAACATCATATTATTATGTGCACGAACTGCAATATTTTATGGTTGTATTCGTTTTAAGACTTTTCGTAATTGCAATTATTTCCCATTTCACTGTACCTACATTATAAACATGGGTAAGTACTATTAGACATGTGTTTAGTGAATTCGGTTTTCCACGAATTGTATTATTTTAATATACGTCAGCTACGCATAATATAATTATTATTATAAGGTATTTGCCTACAACACGAAAGCACTCCAACCATCGTTTTAAAAAATAATTTCACATTTCCTCGTAGATACATTATAAATATATACATAATATAAAAGTACATAATATGTATATATCATATACGTAACATAAACTATGAAAGTATATATACCTACTTCAATATATATAATATAGTGTATATATATAACATATAATATTAT